ATTACGGGAATACAACAGCTTAATGTATGGATACAAATAAGTACCAAAAACGGTGTTTTTACTATTGAAGAAAGTTATTATTATATATTACTATCATGATACAACGTGGCTACAACAAGCAAATACGTGGAATAGTTGAATTTTTTTAACCCAAATTCTCATACGAAATATTGAGGGTCTCAAATTTAGAATCTTTTCGTTGTGCCCTCACTGACTTGCCTTATCACCTTGAGGTTACAAAAGTTGCAGGTTTTGCTTTTGTACTTTTATAAGGAAGCAGGGCTTAGATATTGATCTAGCCTTGTGGTCTAAGTTTACAAGGCACGAAAATTCCAGCATTGCACCCCAATGGAAATGTGTTCTTCATGAACCAACTTGAATGAAAATTAATTAGCAGTTGATAATTCACAGACGTGAAGATGTGGCCACAGAAAAAATTGAATTTTAGGAAAACATTTTACACAATGTAATCAACTAGAAGTTCTTTGTAGCTCAACTAAGCTAGGACAGCGAAAGCCTAAGGTTAACAGAAAGATCTTCAGCGTTCTAAACGTATTCATCATGGAAAATATCCCGAAAAAACATCGGATGTGGATAAATATGGCAATTACTTGGTCGCCAAACATGCCTCCGATTGCACTAATGGCATGGCTTACCAAGGAGTGGCGATTATTCGCGTTAGTGAACGGAATCGTTTGCATCCCAGGCATCTTGTTCTGCCTGTAAGCTTTTTTTCAAATATCCCCCTTTCAAATGAATGGTATGACATCTTCTACTTCAGAGTGTTCATTAGCGAATCTCCAAGATGGCTAATACATAAAGGCAAAATCGGGGCAGCAACGGACATTATGAAGAACGAATTCTGTAGAGGAAAGATCGGTGAAGAAGTTGAAAGCATTGTTATCAGAGAGTGCGAGGTAATTACATTAGATATAAATAATTTTTATATAATGTAACTGTTTTTGCTCTCAGCTATCGCATCGAGCAGATGCGAAGAAGAGGAAATATTCAATCCATCATCTATTCTACTCACGAAAACTTGCCACTATCACCATTGTTTTGGCTTTCAGCTAGTGAGTACTCTTTAGAATTAGAAAATATTATTTGAAGCGGAAGTTCTTTGCAAATTTGGAGAATAACGGTATGTTGTTAAATAGCAATTAATCAACAAATCAGATTTTCATGAATACTATAGATTTTCGCTATATAGTGCATTTCCGATTCAATAGGACAACCCTTCGATCTAGCTTCAAATCGGGTGAATTTATCTAGCGTTCAACTTCTGCAGAAGTCCTCCAAACTTTTAAAATTTAACCAAATGATAATTACAAGAAGTCTGCTATTCGCTCAACACATAACTGCTCCTTGTCCAGCTAGAGATTTGTAATTCTCCTTTTTCCTAAATCTCTGGTCCTGATGCTACTCGTAGGCTCCCGATGGCACACGAGCACGGGATGTAAAGTTTGCTATTCTATGTGGTTTTTAGGAATAATGTCAAAATTAGAACTAGCCCAATTCCACATATTTGACCTAGGTCTCCGTGGTAGCTAAGGTATCGCAATTGCT